ATAAAGAATTCAGGTAATTAGAAAAACACTATTAGCGAATACTGATTATCAGAACTGACCCTATTTCCTGTCAAATCCACTGTAAAGACAAATTAGAACTTATTATTTAAAATCCCTGCATAAGCAAGCAGAGTACAGACTTAAGAAGAGGCAGGTCATGGTTAGCTCCCAACTTCTTTCTACTAAGAGAAAACTATTATTACACACATAAATGCAATAGAACTTAAGGTCATCAAAATATAAGATATGTGATCTAACCCACTAGGCTATATTCCCAGTCAATTATTATTTTAAAGACATTGGGTTCTCATTTGTTATTTCTTATTTAGCTCATGAGAAAAGCATAAAATTAACCTAACCAAAGGATAAACAATTAACTATTCCAAAAGGAAAATAGCCATTACTTATATAGCCATAATATAAATGCAACATGGCATATAAATCAGTAACTCTTGTATTGCAAAACAGACAAATAGATCAATGCATGTTGCAAAGGATGGGTGAAGAGATCGATTAGGTTACTGATTCAGACCATGAACTTTCTTTCAATATACTGCATTTAACTTTTAAATAAGGTTTAAGAGAACCTGTAACATTTTGCTCACTTGACAGAGCTATATTTTACTAAGGGCAGAAATTGGCTAGTCTATAAAAATTAAATTATGCCCCTTTCACTGTATCTAGTCAAGAGGAAAAACTCTAATTACAAGATTGCACTGTCAAACAAATGCAAATTTACATTCTTTATGCCCCAGTTTGAAAAATTCATAGGGGGCTTCTATTCTGAAATGAAAATCAATATTTGAAATATTTTGTAGAGTGTGATGATAAGGAATAGTGGAAAAATGTCATTATCACGGGTGCTGGTAAGTAGACGCCAATTCATTAAGAGCAGAGCATTATGAGAACAAGTCATTCCTTATGCAAACACTTAAATATCAATTAGGAAGGACAATGAAAGGAACAAACCAACCTTCCCCACAGCCCATGCCTTATTACTCCAGCAATGATCGAGAGGAAAAAGGACAGCATAAAATAACCCTAGCATCTTATTAGGAAAGTCACTCTGGGGAACAGGAAAAGGTTCGTTTTAACTGTATTTCCCAGTTGAACATTAAGTGTACCTGCCTCAAAGTTCTGCATATTGCATTACTAGTATTTGGGGGGGAAAAATTCCTTTCAATATGGTTTAACGTCAAACTTAGTTGATTCATTGAAATCTCTTAAATCTACTTAAAACCACAGTTTGTCTATATATATATGAAAAAAGACCAATCTGGCACAGTACTCAAACTGTAAACAATTCTTTTAGTTGATTCTCATATTCTTTCAAGATCCGCTTTGGAGACTGTGCATCCAACCAGCTCACTAAGCATGCAAAGTGAGTTTGGCAGACATGAAAATTGTTCAGGTCTTTAGTTCTTTGCCTGGATTATCTTTTCAGGCAGGCTTGGCTGCATATTTTACTACAGAAAATACCGGTGCAAAAAAATAGGTACCTCTTAATAACAAATGGCAGGAGGACTGGGACCAGGTATTTAACCGTCCTGCCTTTCTTTTCCTCAGTTACATGTAAAGATTTATCCAGATCAGCAAATCTCAATTTAGGGTACTCTAGAGTTATTTGGAAAGCTTATGATTGCATGACTAGGTATCTACCACACAAACTGACACAACTGCCTTCTGTGAGAGCAACCAGATGTGGATTTCAACAAAACTTGCAGTAGGACCCCGATGTATATCCTTCCAGCTCTAACAGCCCTAGAACTCTCAAATATTGTTACTGATCAAATAACAGCATATAACTTTGATTTCTAATGGAATTACTTAACCGGTTTGACTTCTGTCTCCCAGTGAAAAGGCTAACCCTTTAAGAGAGTTAAATGCTGCTAACTGTGGTCTGGAGAAACAAGATTTCAAAGGGTCTAGCAGATTTCACAAGCCCATCCATAGAAACAGCTGAAGCATCATGGGTGCACACAACAAAAGTCAATTATTATTTATACTCTTGTTATAGTTCTTATTACTATTACAGTGTTGACTGAATACACACTGTAGTCATTTAAGGATCTGAGTGTGAAGCTGGCTCTCCATATCTACTAACAAAAGCAGGGTCAGCACACACCAAACTGATTTCTATCAGGAGAGAAAAATGGAAGAGCTTTCATAGTAACAGTCCTTCCCAATTATCACTCCTTTTGACACAGAAACATGAGTTTGGCTCATTTCCATTAAATTTAGACCCAGGATATCCTGTATCAATGTGCTTAGAGCGCCATCCCCTCCTTAGAGTCCATCAAGGTTTTCAAACTCCATCAGTCTCAGTACTTCTATACTTTGGTTTATGACACTTAAGTAGAGGAATCTTGTTTGGAGACAAGATGCCTTCCTTGGCCAACCTACTAGAAACTTTGGCCCGGTAAACTCTGTGCTAAAGGTTCTATGAAGAAGATGGGCATTATAAAATCTACTTTGATTTTGGAAAATGGCTTGGAAGGGGGAATAGAGCATGATGAAAATACCTCTTAAAAAGGGAATATGTGACAACCATTTTAAATCATTTAAAATACACTTTTAGAAAGGAGCCAGACCAGCAAGAAAAGTCAACAGGGTATAAAAAAAACATACATACATACATACATTCAAGTCTCACAATGAAGACGTTACTGGTGCCCGCTTGAGAAAATAGATAAACAACGGGAGGACAGTGCTACAGTGCTATGTACATACATACATACATATATACATGGGCTAGAGCGATAGCACAGCCGTAGGGCTTTTGCCTTGTGCACAGCCACTTGGCCAAGCTGGGTTCAATTCCTCAGCCCCTCTTGGAGAGCCCAGCAAGCTACCGAGAGAATCTCGCCTGCATGGCAAAGCCTGGCAAGCCACCCGTGACATATTCGATATGCCAAACACAGTAACAAGAAGTCTCACAATGGAGACATCACTGGGCCCACTTGAGCAAATCGATGAACAACGGGAGGACAGTGCTACAGTGCTACATATATACACAGAAAAATTTTATATATGAAAAATTTTGCATGCAAGAGGCCTAGACTTGATCTCCAGCCCTGTGGGAAGCAGTCTCTAAACACAGAGCTGGGAGCAGCCCTCAAGCACTGTCAGGTGCGTCCTTCAAACCAAAATAGGTTAGGAAAAAGATACCTGTTTGGATTGCAGTTTGATGCCTATCCTTTTCTCTTACTGTCTAGCCCACATCCTGCATTGTTGCAAAGTACAATATTCAAGTAGACCCAGAGTCTTGGAAAGATGTTCTCTATGAGTCCTCAGTACATGTCCATTTTTTTTCTCTCTCTGGTTCTAAACTACTACATTGAAGAAAACTATAATTTTTTAAGAGTAACAAAGTATTGCTTGAGCTGGAGTGGGCCCAGTAATGTCTCCATTGGAGACTTTGTTGGTACTGTGTCTGGCATATCGAATACCTCACGGGGGAACAAAGTATTGAGAGTGATTCCAACTAAAATCTCAGCAGTCACTCTGAGGACAGTGAACAGTGCAAGTAAACCTCTGAAGGACAGTAAACGGTTCCAATAAAAGTCTCATGAAGGAAACACAAGTAGAAAGAAAACAATTTGTCAAAATTGCCTCTATCAATCCTAATTACTTCACCACTAAGTTTCGTTCTGTCTCTTAAGCAACCCAACTCTCATATGCCAAAACACTGCATGTAGTTTATCTTGGGAGAAGTTATTGAGAGTACAGAGGCCTGAGACTTCCCAAAAGACAGCTTTTGGGGAAGAATTCTGCAACTGATAATACCGTTCATAGGAAAGCTCGAACAAATGGTCCGCACACACCACATCACAGTGTGCGTGAGCAGAACTATCTTCATACCTCAGCCCACCCAAAACTGAATCTTGTGTTTATCAAGAAGACATTTCTAGCCCCTCTTCGAAGGACCTGAAGTGCTACATTGAAAACCAGAGTCTTGTGTTGATAAGGTCAGGGAACCAGTTAGTTTTAATCCCTACACCTGGATCTGTGGGCGGTACAGTTCACAAAACTAAATAGCAGGACCTTGGGTCACTCAGTATCATTTCTCACATGATGCTACTATCCATCTTTGCAATATTCTTAAAATGTCCGAGTCTCAGGCTGAGTTCATCTGGTACCACATCATTCCTGAGCACCACTGGGAATAAATCTGGAGCACAGAGCTGGGCGTGGCCCTGAAACCAATGGAACAAATCTCTCTCTGTTCGTAGATCTAACTTGGAATCGATGAACATTTCTTTTAAAGTTCTAGATACACTTTCAGGGGATTTTTGAGTTCAGACAAGAATAAAGGAAAGGGGTGCTGAGGAGATTTGTCTCAGGGAATCTGGTCCGCTGGAGCAAGCCTGGTTTGTTCTTACAAGACACTTCTTCCCTCACATAAAGCCCAGGTCCTCCTCTCTCAGCAGCCAGTCTGTGACTAGGCTTGCCAGAGAGGAAACTACCCTCCTTGAAAGAGCTCAGCGATTTGTGCCTGGAATTTGATGCATTAGTTCGAAAATTAAATAAAGATCCTGCAGTGTTCCTCAAAGAAATATGGCGTGGCTTTATGACAAACCACATTTTTCAAGTTCTGACCTCTGGGAACTACAACTAGCTTCATATTTCAAGCTGACACTCCTTGTGGGCTTGCTGTCTTGTTGCCTAAGCAGGGACGGTTATCTATACACTTTGCAGCATCCCGATTAGCTTTTAGCAGAGGGAGGTGAGGGGAGTAAATAAAAAAGAGGAGAACCACCAATTTAAATGCACTTCTCCCAACTCCCTGGGGAGAATCCCTGGTAATTAACTCTAATGAGATTGAAGTCACTTGGAGCCCTTCCTTCTCCCAGCACTGTAAACGTAAATCTTCAGTAACCAGTCTGAGTGGGGTGGAATTACCCAGTCCCCTTTCCCTTTTAATTTGGCTGCCCCCTTAACTCCCACCGGGACTCAGGATGGAGAGGGGAGGAGGAGGGCTGGCTCTGCCCGGCTCTTACCTGCGCTTTGCTCCATCACTTCTTTCTGACACATGTCTTGAACATTCACCGTGCAATTGACGATGAACTCCGGGGAGGAACAGTCGTTGTTTAGCTGGAATTCTTCACACTGATAACACTGGATTTGCAGCGCAGAACCTGCGGGGCAGAGGTGGTGGGGGTTACATCCAGTCCCCGACAGCGACCGCCGTGGGAAAGCATCTCCTAGTGGCAACCAGGCATCAGGGGAATTCTGGGGCGCAGGGGAGCTCAGCACTCCTGGGTTTCCAACCAAGTAAGGTACAAGAAGCTGCAGCCGGCAGGGGGCGGCGCCACCCTCCAGCTTCTTGTAGGATAAAGTGGAACGAGAGTTCCCGCGCGACCCCTGGTCCACCGCTCAGATACAAAATAACGGTCCAATGTCACACCTGGCTCCCTTTCACGCCCCAAGCAATTCGAGAGGATGTAGCAAATAACCCTGAGAGCGATGCAGTAGCTTCTGGCTCAACTGTCAGCTTCGGTCTAAACCAAAGGATATGATGCCCAATTGATTACACGTTACTCAATGATCCCGGCCCCCCTTTTAAGAACGCATTCGCAGCCGCCTTTTATTCAATTTTTAAATTCAGCACTCCTCGGTAGGAGTGGCGTCCAGTCGGTTACCCCCAGAGGAAGCGCCGGACGCCAAGTGCAGTCGTGTCCAAAGTCCCAGCCCTTTTCCGAACGTTATCCATGGTAGCTGGGAAGGGGTTTCGCGGGGTGGGGTGGGGTGGGGTGGTGTGTGGGGGGGGGGGGGGAAGGGGGCGAACACAACAGCGCAGATCTTCCTCCCTGGCTTCCAGAGCAACCTTTTGGCTCTGGTCCGGGCAGGGGGGATCGGGATCCCGCCTCTGCAGGTCAGCGCACTGGAAAGAAGGAGCAAGACGCGTGCTGCAACTCTCAACGCTCCAGCCAGGCTCCTGTGCTCCGACCCAGGAGTTCCTATTTAGAACTATCACCCCCAGCCCCCCGGCTCCCGGGAAGCCGATTTCCCACTCGGCGCTTGGCCAAACCCTGCATCGAGATGCGCGTGGAGCGCAACCCGCCAGCCGGGGCGCGTCCTGGCCACAGGCTGTCCAGCGCGCCGCTTACCCGACGGTGGCGCCGCTCCTCCGGGTTGCGAAACACGCCTGACAACTTGGAGTGGGGGGTGGGGGGGGGGACCGGGAGTTCTCGCCGCCCCTTCGCCCTGGCAGAGGCCAGATCAGCACTCGGACCCTGGTGCTCTCCCATTCAGCTTCTCTCTGAGCGTGCAGCCGCGCATCTAGGCTGCAGGAGTGGCGCGAACCCGCGCTCCCGGCTCCCCTCCAGCTGCGCGGGACTGGGACACTTTCCTCTCGGGCGCATCTAGGCTAGCGGTCCCCTTCGCCAAACTCCCGCCGGGCAATACCTGCGCTCCGCGAGCCCCGACGCGGGCGCACCGGAGGACGAGGGTGCGTGTGTGTGTGTGCGTGTGTGCGTGTGTGTGTGTGTGTGTGTGTGCGTGCACGAGGTTCAAATGGGTCGTGCGCACCCGCCGGCTGCTGCTGGGCTCCTCTTCCCCTTACCTTGAAGCCCGAACAATCCGCAAAAAGTTGCTGCGAGGCCGAGGAGCCACATCCTCCCGGAGCCGCCGCGGGGCCGGGGGCGCGCGCAGATGCCTTCAGAGGCCGCGGTGCAGGCGGGCCGGGCCGCAGCGCCGGTGGCTGCCGAGAGGACCCGCAGGTGCCGCTGGCGGCGCCCGCATCGCCCGGCCGCGGGTCCCCGCCGCGAGCAGCAACTCCCGAAGGCGCGCACTCGGCGTTCTGAAGAAGTCCTGGCGATCCCGGGCACCCAAAAACTCTCGCCGCCGCTCCCCACCGCCCACTCCGGGCACCACGTGACGGCGGCCGGGTTGCAGCGGCGGGGAGGGCGGGGGCGCTCCTTCCACGCCCCCGGCCCCCTCCCGCCTCTGCACCTCCCCCCCCCCCCCGGGACGCGGACGCGGACGCCAGCCGTCGCGCACACTTGTCCCGAGGCCGTGGGGGTGCTGGGGGTGAAGGTGGGAGTCGCGGTGGGAGGTGCGGGCCGGCCGATGCGGAGGGCGCAGCAGGTGCCGCGGGGATGCGGGAGGTGCGACCCGCAGCATCCCAGGACTGCTGCGCGCTGGGGGCGGGGGCGCCCTGCCCTCCCACCCCCACCCCCACCCCCCACCCATACACACACGCTTCTACGTCGTCCTCCCTCTGTCCCCCACCGCCGCGGAGTCCCGGCCACCGTGCCAGGCGCGACTGGAGGGAACGGGGCGCGCACCCGGGCATCTGCAAACTTGCACCGCTGCAGATCCCTGGGGTGTCCAGAGCAGCCTTGTTCCCTCCGCCTCCGGGAAGCCTCCTCCCCCTCGGGCTTTAGCTGCAGGGTGGCAGGGACAGGGGTCCGGGGGGGGTGTGGGGGTACTGGAAGGGAAGGCTTGGGAACCCTGCAGACCCTCGCGCGTGCTCCTGGCCGCCTAAAAGAGGGCTACCCCGGGGACCGCTGAGTAGAGCTCCTCCGGGATTGGCAGCCGAGCTGCTGGCGTTCCGTAAAACGCTGGACAGCAACACCTCGGTCGCCCGCCCACCCTGGGAGACGCGGGGGGTTATTAGTTTGTGCTCCTGGCGTCCTCTCCCGTCTGGTGCCCGCCCCGCCCTGGACCTGGCAGCCAGCTGCAGACCATCCCCGAGCGCCGGCGCAGTCCAGCGACCCACCTGGAGTCCGCCGATGCCAGGGACCGCCTGTGCCTTGCTCCCCGCCGGGAGCTCCGCAGCAGGTGGTGCGGAGCCCACTCGCCTGCCCGGCGCCCCCACCCCTCACGCCTCCACCCCGTGCCCCCGACCCCCAGGGAGCATCCATTTCGGTGGAAACGGCCTGGGAAGCTTTGCCCCTCTGCGCCCTCTTTCCTTCCCTCTTCCACCTCTTGGAAGCTCTTTCAGACCTAGACGCAGGTTATTTATTTTCCCGTCTGTCAGTGGAGCAGGTCTGGAAATGGGCTTAAATGACTTTTAGTAATTCTCCTGCAGAGATCTTTTTCCGTATCAGCCTCCGGGCTCCTTCTCTCCCTTTGCCAGGCTCTTTCTTGCATTTCTGCTTGGTTAACCCCCAGGGGGGACCGAAATACTTTTGACTATTACGCTTTTTCTGAGACTGATCTTACAACGGGCTGAATTACTATCTCTGGAGGAAAAAGGACAGTTTATTCATTCCTTCGGGAATTCATCCATTGTTGCACGTGTGAGATTCAAAGAACTGGCTGGGCCAAAGGGTTTTTGAGTAAGTTCTCTATGCTTTCAAAGGGTACAATTATGGTAGAACTTTTATTCAGAAATGAAAGAAGTTTTAAAAGTCTTAAAGACAATGGCATTTTACAGCATTTTGTTTAGGATAGCAAAACTCAAATAGATCAAATTGCACAAATTAGCCAAATAACACTGATCATACAATACTCTTTACAGAAACAAATGTGTAATAAAGTAATCATATAGATCCTAAAAATATTTCTATTATGCCTAGTTTACAAGCTCCTGTACAAAGCAATTATAAATAGTTCACATCTAGAAAAAATACACGTAACCTTTAAAATAGAATTTATCCTTACATATAAACAGACTTTGTAGGATAAAAAGGATATTAAAAAGTAGGAAATTTTCATAGCACCAAACACTTTTTTAAAGTGAACATTGCAGACAGAAATTTGCTTTCATATCTAGATTGCCCAGGTTTTACTAACAAGAGCAGGAAGATTAAAATCAATAGATACTAGAGAGAAGCACTAAGTAAAAAAAGAATGTCAGGAAATATTTGGAGGGAAAATCCTTGCCGTTGAAATAGGAATTCGGTTACTTATACACTCTCTTCTTACCAGTATTTTGCATCAGTATCCTTTACATTTTAAGTAGAAGTCAAATTACATCTCTACAACATGAATCTCTTAACATTTTCAAAACTGTAATTCAAATTTCTATCAATCTGAGGTTCTGAATGGAGAGTACACTGAGATTACTCAGATTGGGGGGCAGGTCCTGATTTAGGTTTAAAGAGTGTACCCACAACCAATTGGAGAACTAGGATAACGAACTGAACAAAAAACTTTTGTTGGAATTTAAAAAATATATATTATCAACTTCTAAGACTTCATACATCAAGAGCATGGCACTGATTCTATTTATTGCTGTCTCTCTCTCTCTTTTTTGCTACAAATATAATTTCTTTTCCAAAAAAAATTTACAACATCTGTACAAGTATTCAAAAAAAGTGCAAAATTAAGACATCTGTATCGTGGTTATGTTTTCTGGAACTCCTCACAAAATACAACAAATGGGGTTTGTCTTTATTGCCCTGTCAGAGAAGTTAGAGCCCTTGAGTTGCTGGCTGTGGATGTAACAACAAAGGCTATGCTGTTGGAATAGTTTATTGTTGTCATTTTATGCCTCCCCCCCCCCACCTTTCTTCCTTAAGTGCTCCATTTTCAGCTCACTATGGAAAAAAAAAAGTCCTTTATACATCATATGAACCCTGACTTGCACACGATGAGAAGCTATCATGTAAAGAATGACTCAAAGATTCCAACTTGTCTACCTCAGGCTTAACTGAGCCACTCAGAGATGGTGCTTCATTTTTTCTTTTTTCTTCCTTTTGTCCTTCAACCTTGCTTGAAGAGTTCTCTTTTTCTAATAAAATCACAGTATTGCTGTTATATTTATTGAACGACTCCAGGGAAATTTTAGATAATCTATTCTCAGGATCTTCTTTTGTTTCTTCAACTTGTTTCAATTTCTGAAACAGAAAGAGGAAAATATTAGAGACATAATTCTTTGGAAAATCAAGTTATTCTATCCAGTATTCAGTTATTGTCTGTACAAACTGCCGTTTAAAGAGATAGAGAGAACTTACAAGTCTTTGACAAAATTCTAGTATAATTAAATGTAATAAAGACAATTTTAGGGATAAGTCAAGACTTGAATCATTTCACTGAGATAAATAGATCCCAAATTGCAAACCAGCTAAGCAGCACTTAATTTCATTTTAAATGGATACATTTAAGATTTGTACAGGTAAAGTGCCTTATTTTTCTTAATCAAAGTTTCAAATTTCTCTCTTTTCTTGCTAAGTATTATTAGTTGTTCTGTTTCTAAGTAGGATAAGGAGTGGATGTCAGTCTAAAGTTACCTTTAGATGTTTTACAATACTTAAATTGTCACAAAATTTAAATTCATGTTAAATATACCAGAAATATTGTCATGTTTCTCTTTGTCTATAAATTTTAAGATATTTTAAAGTGATCTCTCGGTTTGGGGGTATAGATTCTAGATGGTCCAGGATGTTAAAAACTCATAGTATTAGGTTTATAGATGAGTAACTTCTCCCGGTAGGAAGTCCTACTGACAATGGTTTACACAGGAATGTATATAGGATGCTACTCTCTAGTTCAACATAAAAGGCTGCAGTAATTAGTCAATAATTATTTTAGGCAAACACTGTTAACATCAATTCAATATGTTCAGTTACTCGAGTAATTCTTGAGGTTTGAAGCAAAAGGGGAAGACACAGATATAAAAAGCAATGAGAAGTACAAAGGTATTGAAGCTGTGAAAATACTTCCCATTTTCCTCTTTTAAAAATTCCTTCCAACACAAGGCAGGAAAGAGTCTAAGAGATGATAATAATAGGAACCAGTTACTATGCAGGTACCCTGTAAAAGACTGAAAATTCCTTTATATAGAAGACTTTTCAAAAACCTGCTAATTGTTCCCATTTTAGAAGAGGCTAATCAAGCTGTGAGTGACAGGGTGATTTGCCCAAGGTCCAGGTACCTCAGAAAGTAACAGAGAATAAGATCTGAATTCTTGTCTGGCTGCTTCCCATGCTCTCATCCTTACTTAACCATGCTCTTATGTAATAACAAGCTGCGTGTATTTTTGTTTTCACGTTTCCATCAAAATATTCCATTTAAACTCATCACATTTCTATTACTGCTGTCCAAGACTTTAACACATGTGGTTCCATTTCCTAGCTTGCCTCCACATTATTACCGTGAATATGTGAAGATACAGTAATGAGGAAAGTGTGTTTTGATGGAGGTAGGAAGAGGGAAGCAGACAGATCCAAAGTCTATGGGGGCTCTTATGCTAAATTTTTAACAAAGACAGGAAAAAGATACAAAAATATATGACTCAACTGTCCCAATAGCAGACTAAGACGGTTTCTTTCTCTGTTGTTGTAAAAGTGTACTTTTATGGGAATATCTGAAAATCATCTTAAGGTGGTATTTATTTCATTATGCTATTAATGTTAAGAGCGTAACTCATGATGAAGCTTTGTTTCAGTCCCAGATAGCTATCTTGAAACTAGAGGCAGGCTCTGGGTAACAGATTCCTAACCAATTTCAAAAAAGTGGCTAAATAATTAGAAATAATTCCATACCCAAACCCTTTATATGCTATGCCAATATTTAGCCATCAGGACTATGTGTGTGTGTGTGTGTGTGTGTGTGTGTGTGTAGTATAATACTAAAATATGTAGGAAATGTTTATACAAAAGGTAGGTGAGTAAACAGCATTGGACATAATTTTCCTCTCGCCTGAGTATCTTCTCATTTTTTTCTTCAATCAAGAACCACTGGTACTTTTTCCTCCTCTATTTCTGATCAATGTAGATCTCAAAT